TGTAATAACTAACCACAAGATTTGTTAAGCTGCGGACTAACAAACCACAACACAATGATGATTCGAAATGTTATCTTTTGCTATTTTAAAAAGCGCTTGTTCTAAGTATATTAATAGAAAACAATATGGAGACAAACAGGGGAAGGTCGACCACGAGGATCAAGTTGAGAAACCATTACCCCAGTGGAAAATTCCATCATCATGGCCCACAGAGACTATTGACCACTGGACTATTGGTTGATACCCCTCAGCAACAGAACTAGCCCACAAAAAGAGGAACCAACCTGGAATTAGCCCGCGTAAGAGGAACCAAACAGAACTTAGCCCGCGAAACCAGAGCCAATGGACTAATGACATGACACTGGGGAGAGGTGGCTGAAAGAGGGTATAAGAAGTCCTGTTTGCTGTTCCCTTTTGCGGACCGCGGCAGGAACAAGGGGTTTCCTCCGGTAGCCCGGCTAGCCGTTTTGCTTATTTGTGGCTTTAATAAATTCTTTTATTCCTTGCAACCTAAATTTTTATAGCCTCTTACTTATCACACTTGCTATTAATTTTACCTAATTCACCTGTCTGTCATTTGCTGATATTGAACTTTATCTTTCATTTAAACAGTCTTCTCCCTCCCCTTTTCCATTTTCCCTTTGGATTTCAGAAGGATATTGCTGAAATGTTCTTGCTGAATCCTGTCAGCACATTGTCTTTGGCTCAGATTAATTTCTTCCTGCCATACCAATGTCAGGAATCTTACAGGAGTGCAGCATCTTCTGTGGTGTCTGACCTCCTAAGGAGCAAGATCTTACCACTGCACAGGGCACTAAAAAAGATACCCAAGAAGGTCTTTAATTGGCTTTGTAGTGAATGTTATAGTCACTTGCAGGCACTAAGGTGCTTCTCTTATCCACAGATCTTTCAGTCTTCGCCTTGGTTAGTGCATATTATTTCAGCGTTATGAATTCTTGGAAGATTCTCTGTGGGGCTTCAGAACTTTCTGCCTGGTGCCTTCTGCCATTTACAGGATTTATTAAATTATTCCCTAAGAAATGTCCAGGGTCTCTCGATTCCTGTAACATCCTCTCTATCAGTTACCCTTGAGACTGGATTTTAGTTTTTATATTTGTCTTTTATTTCCCAGTATTTAGCTACTGAATCTCTAAACATCTTTTAAATACAGGGGTTTTTGTTTGACTAGGATCAGTCTAGACTAAGCTCAGCCTTAACTGTTGTTCCATCAAAAGAATCTATCAGAAAGAATAAATGCAGATTTATTTTTTTTTAAAGCTAGAAATACTGAATATTCCATTACTGTTTAGCCTTAGAGAACTTTTTCTTCTGTAATCATAAGTTCATCATCATTTCCAGTTATTGTCTTGGGCAGTCAGAAGTTCATACATTTTCTACAAGAGCTCCAAAGCAATGTGTAAATGTTCTATTCCAGTGATAGCCTTCTTAAAAGAGGAGGTAAAAGAAATTTTGAATGACGGAAGATGAGCCATTCAGGGACTAAATGAGTGGAGGAGATGGATAAAAGGAAAACTGAGATAAAAGGGACAAATAAGAGGAAAACAGAAAGGGTAAACTAGAGTGAAAGAGGATCTGTGCTATTGAAAGCCTTCACTTAGACCCTTAAAATATTTACCTGCCAGATATTTTTAATAGGTGGGACTTGCTCAACTACAAAAACTTGGGTTTGAACTTAGAGACAAGTATGTTCAAAAAAGACACGTGAGGCTGAAGTGCCTTGGTTGGGAATTTGGTGAGACTGAGGCACTAAACACAGTGGTGGGTTGAGCTTTAGGTCCATCCTTGTCCTTCAGTTTCTGTTTGTTCTGGGCTTATCCAAAACTCATCTGGGAAATCTGGGGTGTGTAACAAGAGGCATGATTTCTTCACTTATTAGAACCTTTTGAAATGCATTCATTAACCATTAGTAATTAATGAATTGGTTTTGATACTTCTAATGTAGAAGCTCCCAAAGCCATTCATGAAGGCTCTTGCACCAGTGCTAATTGCTGAACAGGTACCTCGTAAAAGATACTGCCGTTTTTAGGAATATAACTTATTATCTACTTGCAGCCTTTTACTTATTCAAAACTTTTTTTTTCCAAATAGAGTTGTTACTTTGAAGTTGTTCTTCTACTAGGGAGGTATGAAGTTTGGCCTAATTTGCTGAGGTTATGTTAGTGAACAGTGAAGCTGAATAGAAATAATACTTTGATGGTGTATAAGTCTATATTTTTTTACCCAATTAGAATATTTTTCTCTCTTTTACAGCCATAAGCCCAGGCTCTACTGTTCTACGTGCCCTCATTAACCACTGTGGAGAAAACTAATACATCACAGCGACATTAATTGGTAGGGTTTTTTAAACCAAATAGCTACCAGTTTTGATAAATATATTTTACTCAGGTCCAGTTCTATTGGCAAAATAACATTTTAAGTACTGCAAATGCAGTGGTCTTAGTAGTATTTTTTTTTTGAAGAGAGGAAAGGGTTGCAGTTCTGCAGCTGGATTTTCAGGAAATCCTGAGCAGTCACAGACGTAAAGCAAGGCTTTTAAGAAGGCTTATCTCATCAGAGACATCCAGAATTTGAAACATCCCGCATAAATTCTGAATTGTGAACTATTTCCCATAAATCATACTGTGAGTAAGTTACACTGTGTAATAAATATGTGCAGTCTAAGAAGTAGGAACTGACACTTTTATGGCAAAACATCTTCAGTGTTTAAAAACTACATTTTCTCTTAGAGACAGATTTTTTGTGAATTTAACACTTCTCTTTTTAACTTTTTCTTCTTCCTCCCCTTCTTTTTCTTTTTTTACTTTTTGTTTACTTTTCATTTTTCCTCTTTTTTCTTTTTCTTTTTTTTTCTTTTTCTTTTTCTTTTTCTTTTTCTTTTTCTTTTTCTTTTTCTTTTTCTTTTTCTTTTTCT